CCACGGCCGAAACGACGTCGGCAGCACGGAAGTCCCTGGTGTAGTATCCAATCATTCTGCCAAAGTTGATTTGGACCAGATCCTTGACGTTCAGGCTGCGCAGGTCGTTCGAAGCGCTGAATGGATCGGAAGGACGGAGCAGACCGTAGTATTCCAGGGCGATGGCGAAGTGGACCGCATCAACGTACGAAAAGGGGTAGAGGTAGGCAATGGCCTCCTCGAACATGCCGGAGAGAACCTGCAAGTAGAAGAACATGCCAAAGCTGCCGCTGTTGTCTTCAGACGAGGACTTGGGAAAATGCTTAGCACCAATCTCCTTGATACTCGACTGCAATTCGGAGAGACCGTATGCCTCACTGGCAACCTCGACTGAGCGGTCGCCTTCTCTGGCAAGGTTGAACTGAAGCCAGATCCAGTCATTGATGTCGGTGTTGAGTCCGTCAAGGCTGCGGTTGTTCAAATCGCAACGACCAATGATCTTGTAACAGGCCATACGGAAGGGATCGATGGAGTTGTCGGGGGCATTGCGAACTCTTTGAGTGTACTCGGCGTTGCACCTGTCCTGCAGCGTCCTCTTAAGTCTACGGTCTTCGTTGGATGCGTAGCCGTTGAGGTAACTCTGGAATGTCCGGTCGATGCTGCGGAATTGGTTGCCGTTATCATTAACGTACTTGGCCGCCTCGCTAACGTTACCAGACCGCAACAGGTAGAAGACGATGGCCCAGACGTATTCTCCCCCGACTTGCTGAAGTTCCGTGTTGTCAGGCACCAGATCCTTTCTAGCTGATCGCAGGCGGATATACGCTCTAATCTTGCTAACGATATCGGGACGACCGCCCAGGTTGGCCTCGTGGGGATGTTTTGAAATAAGACCTTCAACTTCCTGCAAGAACTGCTTCTCCAGAAATTTGTTGGCACCCTCGAGTAGCCGCTTCCGCATGGCTATCGAGTTGGAAGAGTTGGGGGACTCGTCCAAGTACATCTTGGCAAATTGTCTCTCCTTGGCCGTGGCACCATTGATGGTGGTCTCGGCTTCAGGATCCTCACCGACAATCTCTCTAACGGCATGGTATGCCTCGACAATGTGCGGGGCGTACGGGTCGAGAGAGCGGTGCTCAACGTCTGCGAGCTCTGAAAGAATAGGGTAAGGGTGGTTGATAAGGCGAGCCGAGTTGAGGCTGCGAACCTTTTCGGAAAGCTTGCTCTGTTTCTCGCGCAGAGACCTGTCGTCAGTGTTGATGTGGCCGGTCAGAGATCCGCCGTTATCGGTAGAGCGGTCAACATCGGAGAACTCGGGCTGATGCGTGCCGATCTTGCTGGCGTTGCCAATGACAGAACGGTGCATGCTGGACTTGCCCAGGACACTGGCTCTACCGGAGCGAGCGCCAGCCGCCTGACTCTTGGTGCGGCGTGAGCGACCAAAACCGCCAGTTGATTCCCTCATGGACGCCGCGCCTCCGAATGATGCCTCCTCGCGAGGCTTGATTCCAAAGTGTTCGTAGATACGCTTGCGCTGGTTCTCCCACTCCATCGTCACGTTGTCCTCCAGAAAGTTATCAAAATCGCGAACGGATCTCTCGAGGCCGTCAGCAATCATGCTCATCGTAGTCTTCGTTTGGAGGTTCGCGAGGTAGGTCTCGACGTCGATCTCGGCGGGCGAGTAGCCAGTCGGTCTCTCAACACGGCCGGTCTGAAGGTCGAGGGATCCGAGGTCCCTGGCAGCCGTTCCGGGGTCGACACCAGACGCGGCGAGGAGGTAGTGTGCTCTGCCATCGGAAGGGCGCTCCTGGGCCTTGGTTCCCAGCTTCTTCAGGCGCTGGCGCAGGTCACCCAGGCCGAGCTGCAAACTGGGGAGGTCCTCGACGCCGCTCTCGCCATCTCCCTGCCTCTTGCTCTTTGCAAAAAGGCTGTCGAAGTATGCGCCAGAGGTCTGGCCCTGCTGGGCTTGCGATTGGTTGTTCGTGTTCTGGTTCTGCTGTTGTTGCTGTTGCTGTCCCTGCTGGGGGAAGAGAGAGCTGGCAAGGGGATTGGTAGTAGTCTGGCCGAGTGTCGTGCCGGCCTGCGTTTGATTCTGGTTGCCGGCGAGGCCGCCACCGAAGAGGGACGGTTTCTGCGCTGTCGATGCCCCGAGACCTCCCAAGCCGCCCAAGCTGAGGCCGCCCGTTTGTTGCTGTTGTCCTTGTTGTTGTTGCGCAGGCTGGCCGAACAGAGAAGACTGCTGCTGCGCCGGTTGCTGTGTCGTCGAGGCGCCGAAGAGTCCACCGCTGGTCTGAGGCTTGTTCTGATTCAAGTTGCCAAAGAGCCCACCGGATGCAGGCGTCGTGCTCGCGGGCTGGGCACCGGGTGTCGCTTGTCCAAAGAGACCTCCGCCGGTCGTCGCTCCCTGCTGGGGAGTGCTGGTCGAGCCGCCCAGGATGCCGCCACCCAAGGGCTTGTTGCCGAAGAGCGACATGGTGATATCGTGAGCGCGTCAAGTCGAATTCGGATTGAGCGCTGCGATGGGCGTGGGAATGGCAGTAGTGAAGATGGTGGACGCGATCCGATGATGATCAGGCGCGTTTGGGGATGGAAATTTTGAGGTTTGGGAGAGCTCTCAGCAACAGCTCCACTGATTGGTGGGGAGCGACCAGGCAACGGACACCATTCTAGGTTCCGAGTACAAGCGCCCCTGGCATTGCAAACGACGAATGAAGGTAGACGCTACTTGATGCTTGCAGACCCACCTGGGACACTCACCGAGAAGCAGCGTCGGTGAGATGTTGACTTACAACGCTGGCTTTGTGTGCCATTCACATTGTAAATACTCCATCTGGGCGAGAAGATTCCCGTTCGATATTCATTTACCATATCATTGTGCAGGAATTTATAATAACTCCAAGTGTCTATGTTTCCAGGCTTTTTTTAGTCGCTACAATAACTTAAAATACTTACTAGCACAAGTTGCCAATTTGTTAGCTGGCTTCCTATCAAGACCAAGTACAACTTAATCAACGTCCACAGATATTAGGATAGTTACTTTCCACGGACAACGTGGTTTGATATTCCATCGCGATATTCTATGGTATCTTCACCTATCACAAAGAACAAATTCTTCCTAGTATGTCTTCGTCGGTCCGCATCATTGTCTATTCCTGTACTACAGAAATAATTTTATATCCATAGACGGTAGTCTGTATGAACTATTCTGTAGCTCAGATTCTTACCTCAAACAATTTGTTCTGTTTATGAAATATGAAGATTGTCTTTGACTGCAACGTCACCTGCCTCTCGCTTCGAGGCTTCGACAAGCTGGAGGAAATGTCCTCCATAGTAGCACCAAACGATTCAGGACCACCCCTGAGAAGCACTCAGAAACGAAAGGCTCTGGACACTATATCGCCTGGATACTACGTAGTCTATAATCATCCAGATGCAGAATACCCAGGAGATGCCATCAAGCTTTGAAGATCACTCTGGTGACCACTGTGCGTAGTCTGCCTCACCGCTGAAAGACTCACATCCCGACGGTGATGATGGCCCATTCTGATTCTAAACAGCTAGACACTATCCAACTATTCCCCCAAACGGCTACTTCATCTTCTTCACGAGCCATGCCGAAAATGGGGGTACATGGAATTTGAAGACGAGGCCCGCAAGCGATCCGCTAATTCTCGACTCTGTTCTGACCCCCGAACAGAGCAGTCGAGATCTCAATCACCGAGCCAGCCTCCCCTAAACCTGATCATGATTATCACAATGCATCTACCGAGGAAGATAAGCCCAAAATGAACTGAACTTTGGATCTCCGAAGTATCTCGGCCTTCCTTCGCCCTTCGGAGACGAGCCGTCCTGTACACCTCGACCCGATCCCCTGAAATTCACACCGAAAAGGAGCCGCCGCAATTATCACACCACACGATCCAACCCCGCCGCCCCTGGATCTACCCTCTCCCCCGTCAAAACCGCTCAAGATAGGCCGCCGTTGGGAAACATCATTCCCGCCAGCCTCAATCCAACTCATAAATCTCGTGACCGCCCGGTCCGACCTCGAACAGCCTATCCATGCACCCACACACCCCTTGACCTGGGATATTTCCATCCAACTCCCGCAGAGCCTCACCCAGAGATCCATACCATACTAAATCTCGCAGTATTTATCGCTGAACCAAAACCTCCGTCTCCTGATCCGCCGGCCCGACTACAGAGCCTCATCTCTCGGCGCCTCTGCCATGCAGATGACTGAACACGACCTCACAGATCCACGGCCAAACAAGCATCTGGTTCCTCGGCCCGTACAAACATCCCACGTCGAGTGTAACAAACCACCCGACATGTCAAAACCACAATGTCGGTCCTGCCAATCACGCCACCCCCTAACCCACGGAACGGGAACCGAAGCGACCTGCCATGTCTGCGCCGCTAGTGCACCAGAGCGGAGCCCCTCAGTCTGTCATCACCTGTCAGCGCCGAGTCCAACGTTGCAAGTGATACCTGTTAGTCAGGCCAGTCGTGCCTTGTTACATGCATCTTCCGACGACGTCTTTCACATCTGGCAGCTGCTGCACCTGGCTAGATTATCAGATATGATAGACTTCTTTTAATCTACGTTGCTAGCTAAAGGCCGATTCAGGCTCTAGTGTGTTGTGTTCTGTGTATGAATGTTTGTTTCTGACAAAGCTATTGCAAATGGTAGCAAGAAGGAGCCGCGAGGCTTCCTTGTATCGATGTGCGTCATATGGGTATCTTTTTTTGACCTCTGTGCTGTGAGACGGTCTTCTTCGATTCCCAAACGCCTTGCAAATGCTTCGACCCTTCCACTAACAATGTCGAGAAGTCCATGTGCTGAAAAAACAATCATCTGCAGGAACCGTTTCTATCCCACACTCCCAAGCAAAAAAAACATCATAGTCGTAGTTGAGTTGACCTCGAACTCCACAAACGCCCAAGCGAAACATTACCCATTATTGTTGTACAAGTGTCGTCGTAATATAATACAGTTCAGAGTGCCCTGTTCTCTGAGCTCAGGCAGCGCGGTCGACGGTGCGCTGCGGGCGGTAGTTGGGAATTTCGGAGAATGTCGACTTGTCCGCGCTGTAGCGGTATGCGTGGAAATCGTATCCGTAAGGCTTGGGCTCAATCGAGTACAGCATACCCAAGGGAACATCCAAGTCCGCAATCTCGTTGCGGGTAAGATCCATGAAGTAGGCCATGAGAACTCGGCAGACCGAGCGGTGGCCGATAATAAGGACGTGGTCCTCGATGCGCTCGATTTCGCGCACCATGTCGCGAAGGCGGGCGATGACTTGGAGGTATCCCTCACCTCCAACACCCGGATAAGTGTAGTGAAGCTTGTCCTCAGCGCGCTTCTTGTACTCGCCAGGGAATCTCCTGGCAATCTCTTCATACGTCATGCCCTCAAACAGGCCTGCGTTGAGCTCGTTCAACATCGCCCAGTTCTTTACGTCGTAGTCGTCATCAGCATCAAAATGCTCCGCTGTCTGGACGCTACGCTTCAACATTGATGTCCACACACAAAAGTTCTTCTCCTCCAGCTCGCGGTTGAGCTCAGGGTACGGCGGAGTATGGTCACCAGCCTTCGGCGGAAACGACGATTGAGCGATTTTGTCCTTCTGCTCAATGAGCCACTCCTTGCGCTTCTGTGTAATGAAGTCATGGAGGGCCTTGCCATATCGCTCTCCATCGGGAGTTAAATCCGAATCTCCGCCGAGCTTTCCGAGGCGGTTGTCGACGCTTTGTCCGTGCCGGGTGAGCCATATCTGCCGCGGCGCCAGGTTGAAAGTTGTCAGGTATGAGCTGATACCGCCGCTCAGAAACCCGCGCAGTCTGTATTGGACGAGCTTACGACCGACATCAATCATCTGCAGTCGGTGTTAGTGATTGACGCGATGTTGTAGATGGGTGCGCACATACCTGAATGTATTGCATGTCATGCTTCTCCTCATAGTCCCCGATGGGTACGTAGGCACTCTCATAAGCCGCAACGCGCTTCTTAAAATCCGCGAGGGACTGGTGAGGATCCTTGTCCTTGTAATCGGGACCCGAAAGCTTCAGGCGCATGTTTGCCTCTAAGAGCTGCATTACTGTTAGACGACTCAAACAAGGGGAAGAATGCGCGTCTCTACTCACGTTCTGGTCGTGGCAGATACTCTCGATGAAGAGAATACCCAGCTTGGGCTCCCTCTCCTTAATCCGGTCGACCAAGAGCTGTCGGCGGTGAATTGTGCTGTTGGTCGCATCGAGGATGCCCACAGAGCCTCCCTGATGAAGGAGATAGTCCAGCAGCTCGTCCAAAGTATCCAAGGCAACCTGCTCGCGGATCTTGGATGCTGTCTCGTTGGTCGGCTCGAAGAATCTGGCAGACTGATCCATAGTGTCGGCGTCGGGTGTGTTGAGGTTCAGCTCAGTGGGCTCCTTGTTGCCCTGCGCAGGGAAGCCGTTCAACAGGATCGAGGCAGCTTGTGTCGGAGGATCAAACTTGAGTGGCGAGGGGGGCCATGGCGACTTCAACGGCGACTTCATCGGCGAGGAAACGCCAGCAGCCACACGTCTTCTGTTTCCAACATTGAAGATGCGCGAGTCGTACTGCTGCCATGAAAGATATCTTTGCACCTTTTTGGTGATGTATGATTTTCCTCTCGCAGGCAGCCCGACCATGATAATAACGAGCTTCGCAGCAACATCTCTGTCGCTGATCTTTCCATCGGGCGAAGCTCTCGACACGGTCATGCCGGGTACATTCAGTGTGGCTGGGTGCGGGCGAAGTCGTGGGGTGGTTCCTCCAGAATTTTGTCTTACAGGCGGGCTGTTCAAGGAGCAAAAGTTAGTCAACCTATGCAATACCAAGCTATATGAAGGCGCCAATTCTACGAGCAGCTTTCTTGACGCAGCACAGAGAAATATGGTTGTACACATACATTCTAGGCGAGTTTGGGGCGGTTGAGACGACGCTTCGCATGGCTGGAGGGGTGTCGGAGGAGGCAATGAGAGATCGGTCGCGCAGGGCAATGGGCCCGCTGAGGTCGTTCATGGATCTAAGAGCATGCGCCATGGCGGGGGGAGGCAGCAGCGCATCGTGGAGGTGAGGATGGGAAACGGGCGGTGGTGGCAGTTCGCCGTTGGTAACCGCGATCGTGGGCGACCTGGTATTCGAATGGATTGGGGGCGATGACGAAGGCGCGCGGGAATCCCTGGTGTTGGAGCTCATTGCCAGTTTCGCCAGAGCAGATTGCTTGGCCTGTATGAGACCAAGGTCTTTTTCCAAGGGAAACAAGAAATGTTAACGATTATATTCTGGACAAGAGCGATTTCTCCGAAAGGTCGAGTGGGAGGAAAGTTTTTGGGGTTGAACCTTTTGGGCAGGAAGCATGAAAGTTCAAGGAATCTACGAACCTGGACTGTATGGAAAGACTGCGGAAGGCATGGGGACGGATTTAGGGTGTGGAAGAGTCGGCGACTGGGTCTAAAAGGTGGAAGGAGTCACAGGGTGCCACTGCTGGCAGCAGCTGCTACTGGACTGGTGGCTACCAGGTAGGTAGTGTCCCAAGGTAGGTAGGTAGGTAGGTAGGTAGGTAGGTAGGTAGGTAGGTAGGTAGGTACTGGAGGAAGGTAGCGGAGTGAGACTGGGCCTGCCCCGTTTAGAGCGTTGGCCGCTTTGTTCAGGGAAATGTCGTTCGGTTCCAATGTCCCAAGGGCTGCACCCAATGGAGGTGCAGGGATGGGGAAGCTGGTCGAGCTGTCCGACGTGGGTGATGAAATGTGGCGTCGAGGATGGCCTAGCTCGTACCTTAGCGCGCACAGGGGTCCGGGCGACGAGGGAAAAAAAGGGTTTGTTGAGAGGCCGGACAGGGAAGGAAGCGCGTGTAAGTGGACTGCAGCAGCCGGGCGCGGTCACTGGAGGCGAGGGTATTCTGTACGAAATCGGTATGACGGACAGGCTGGCTGGTCGTTTGGAGGTCACCGTCGTTCTTGGAGAGGTGATGCAAGTCGATGTTGATATCGATGTTGCTGATATCCGGAGTAAGGTAGAGAGGTGCCCGACCTGCTGTTGATGTGTATTCGGCAAAGCTGTCGTAGGTAGGTCGGTAGACAGACAGACGGAAGGATGGGAGACGAAAAAGATTGCAATGCAATGCGACGGGCTTGAGTCTGGTTAAAGTATAGAAGGAAAAAGAAGAGGGGAGGGGGAGGGCCAGAGCGATGGAGCTCCGAGGTGGTGGAAAGGACCGATAAATATCTCCAACTTAAGGTAGGCAGGGACTCTTTGGTGGATGGGACGGGATGGGATGAGATGGGATGGGCGTACGAAGTCAGGGTCGACTTGACTTGACTTGGGGCTCAGGGCTGGGCTCCAGCCTGGCGCAGGTAGGTATCCGTCGACACCAAACACCAGATTTTTGATGGGTTCTGATGGGGGTGAAGATGAGAATGGCCGATGAATGAGGTGACTCTCACTCGCTCTCACCCTCATCCTCACCATGCACCACACGGATACACATCCTGCTCTTCCGTCTCTCCCGTTCCATTTCTCTCTGCCTGCTCTGCCTGAGGTCTTGACTCTGCCTCTGACTGACTCTGAAGGTACCAGGACGGGAGGTGCGAGGCCGTCGGGGAGTAAGGCGTGTCAAGGCCAGATCCGAACCGAACCTAGGTGACCTCGAGCTGGAAATAACCACTAAACTCGTCGTGTCGTAGCATCTCCAAGGGCTCTGGAGCAATGGACACGCTTGGCACCGATCCAGGACCTGGGACCTTTTCACCATGCACTGGAAATTGCCAGAGAAACTCGGGCACACTGCCAAAAAACCGCACCCCTCCCCTCCCCCTCTCCTCCAGTCCCCTCACGCCTAGGTACGGTACCTAAGGTATGTCGCCCCCCATCCACCACCGCCCTGCGGCCAACGGTCGAATCGGCGCAAGCAGACGCAACCACCTCGCCCACGCCCACGCCCACGGCCATGCTGCGGCGACGGCGCGGCGGCCTTCTAGAGGCGTTCCCTCAGTGGGGATTCGCCCTTCCAGCGTCTCCCCCAAGATGGGGCACAGGAGCCCGCGCTGCTGCATGCTCGGTGGCCGGTCGCCGATGCGCGAGCGAGCAGCAAGCCCACCAAGCCCTTTCTTTCCACTGGGCTTCTCTCTCACTGCCCTTGTCCAGGACATTCAGGCACACCCCCGCTATCAGAAAGAAAAAACCCTTGTCCAGCGCCTCGAATGGCACCAGAGCCCTGGGATTGCTGGACTGCGTGCCGTGGGAGCCAGACGCGATGGGGGTGTCGGGGGTTTTGCCTCGACTCGTTTGATTTTTATTTTATTTTGGCTATTTTATTGTATTTTGATTTTCTAGTCCCTCCCTCGCTCGGAATAAAGCCTTAAGTTGTGGTTTTGGACTGACAGTGGTGGGCTTTCCCTGTCAAACGCGGCGTCTGGGCGCCTTCGGCAAGCCACCCTTTTTCCTGTCAAACCTATCCGTCCGACGGTCCGTTTGAGAGGGCGTAGATATGCCATGTCTAATCATGCCAATCCCAGCGAACCAGTGCCAAACAATTCCAATAGTCAAGAATGCGGTGTACGAACATGTCCTCTCAGACTCTCTGCCAAGGCAAGGCAAAGCGCAGCAAGGCGGACGGGATGAGCACTGCGCTGGGCTGGGCTGGGCGACGTGGACGGCGGCAGAATATCCACGAGTGCCTGTGCCCCTGCTCGCACATGCTGCCTGCCCTTCTTTCGCGCGTTGAGCGACTGCAATGTCAAAGTGGACTCACTCTGCCCCGGAGGTGAGGTGAGGTTCAACACTCCGCCAGCAGGGGCACCTGGAAGCTCCCAGCGATCGCTCCCCCAATCCCGTTCGCGGCCCAGACAATTCATACGCAAAGCCTCTGGCTGATTGCCAGCATTCCACTTTCCACCTTTCCTGAGGTCATTTCACGTGTTTGCTATGGGAGGCACGTACGTGTGTGTACTGCTGTTGCTGGGCGATATACCTTATTCTATGATTTTCCCACAATCACTGGCCGGCAGGTGGTTGTCCAGCGGATGCCAAGGTCCATCTTCCGCGACTACGTAGACGCCATGCAGCAAGATGTGACTCAGAGATGAGATCGTCTGGGTACGGCCGAGCTGAAGTGAAGCTGTAACACCGTCGAGCTGGGCATCTCATCTCATCCATCCCCTTCAGTGAGCCGCTGGCACGGTAAATGGTAATTATGGGTGTAATTCCGGCCCCCAATACCTGTCAGGCCCTGCCTCAGGCTGGGTCGATCTGATGCTGATGCTTAACAAACGACCCAAATAGAAGGGCCGCTGTAAAATCAATAACATTTACTTTTTTATACTGCGTACCTTATTCTACCGCATTTGGCCCTGATAGTCGTTGCTGTTGGGTGTTTTGTCCATCTCTGGGGGTCTTGGCCAATGCCTGGAGCCAGTTCATCCACGCCCTCCTCCCCCCATGTCCATGTCTATGTCCAAGCCCTCCTCGCCTTGTCCACAGTCCTAACGTCCACCGTCTGGCCATGTCATGGATGTCAGCCAGTGAAGCCACCCATCCTCCGTGCACCATGCCCGACGGAAACCTCAACAATCACCCTCCTCTCTCTCCTTCCCGTCGTCCAAAATAAGCCCAAACATCATCTTTGACGGCCGGCCCCATCCTCTGCCTCTCCCCGTCTGCCTGGGTCAGGCTCTGTGCTGTGCGGTGCCTTGCCCGGGTCCCGTCGTGTCCATCCCTCGCGTCTGTGTTGTGTTTCCCCAGGTACATGCTCCTGCCACACCGGCCTACAAACCTGGAAATAGCTGCAGAACGAACTGAAGTGCCGTCTTGGCTTATCGAGGCGTTCAATGCTCACTTCTCGCCCATCATCTCTCGGTGCTGGGTGAGGTGGCCTTGCCTTGCTCACCGGGCATGTCGGAGATACCCCGTAGATCCATCTTGTCTCTGCTGCGCTTCCCACTTCCCTTCCCACTCAAATGTTTCACGACTCAGGTCTTCATGTACCAGCCCGCCAAGTCTGCCTCCTGAATCAACTGGTGCCGGCACCGATGGCTAATTCTATGAACCATCTCAACTTCTCAAGCATTCCAGCCATCAGCCAAGAAGAAAGAAGAGACCACTCACGTTGAGCCTCGTCAACACGCCTTCGAGCCCACCCCAAAGCTTATCCTTACCTTAGGCTACGGCTACCGGCTACGCTGTGCCGCCCTCCCTCCCCTTCGCATACTTTGACGGTTATCTGACTTGGTCAGCTCTGGTTGGCGAGAAAACTAATGCTTGATCAACACCTGGTCCTGTCATCTGGCTTTCTGCGGTGCTGCAACATGTCTCCGACAGCCCTCTCAACAAAGTCGCACACACAAGGAGGATGGGATACACAGCATAGTTTGACACACCACCTCCTGCGGTCGCTGCGGTCGCGTGTCGATGATATTCCATTACATATTCTGTTGGCGTTGCGACAACTCAGCTAGCGCTTGGGCTGACCTCGGAACCACCCCGAAGTCCGGAGGCTGGCATGAGAAACCTCCACGCCCCGGAGATCCGCTCCAGAGCATGGCTCCGCTGCGTCTCGGTGAACCGCGGGCGCGAACCCCTCATCGAATCCCTGGCCGTTCTCGACTTGATGTGGGGTTGGAGTTCTGGAGACTCCAGGAAGCTGTCTGTCATTGTCAATTGTCAACTGTCGATCGATGAACGCCAGCCTTCTGTTTGACGTCTCGTCACTGCGAGATTGCCAATCCTTCTCCCTCGGTCTGGGCGGTGATGTCAGAAAAGGACTTCCCTAGCGCATGGCCGCCCTCAACCACAACGAAACACCGTGCCGAGCCCGCTTGCACAGCATGCAGAAACGGCAGGATATCAATCCGCATGTCCCGCCAAAGTATGGGAACGCCATGTCATCGGCCTCGAGACGAGCGAGGCTTGCGTCCAACACCACCATTTTTCACTGCCTGGTTGCACCATGTCATTGGCAGAGCCAATCACCTCTCAAGTCGTAAAGCTGCCAGGCTGTCTCCATGTCTTCCTTCATGCTTCCGTTCAGAACAAGGTCTGGGCGT